TCTCTGCTTTGCGGTCAGGAGATCCCTTTGATCTGCTCAGAAGTAACTGCTGAGGTGAAAAAGTAACCCCCAAATTCCACTACCTCCGCTCCACACCGGTCCGCCCCCGCCTTCCGCAGCCGCTCGCTTCCGAACTCAATTTTTACTGGTACCCGCTCTACAACGGCTCCGCTCCGGTGCGGAGACCTGAGGGGAGCAAACAAGCATGCGCGGGATTTTCGAGATCTTGCGATACAGTCCGAGCAATAAACGCGGAAGTTAGATCCAAACACCCGTTGTGTGGGAGAAGCATCGAAATGAACTGCCCATCATTTGTGTTGAGAGATCAGCAGTGTTTTGGATCAACAAAGTGTGACTACTTTGATAGTGGAAACTGTATTTATGGCTTAATTTTGTGCATTTAAACTTCAGCCGCCATTGATAGTTGTTAAAAGTTGTTAAACCTGTACATATGAAACAAAAAACGCCTTTTGTTTATCGATTTATTGAAATATAGTGAAAAATGGAAAGTGTGCTTGCTCCTTTTCCTGTTGGACGGTTGTGATTCCTGTCCATTTACTGCGGAGGTGCTCCGGCGTCCGGCAAAAATAGGATCGATTCTATTTTTGCCGGACAACGGAACAGAGGGCGGCGCACGGCGCCACACTGCTGGAGCACGGCCACAGTAGTGGAATTGCTCTGATTGACTACAACGGGACCGATTTTGCTCTGGCGTTCGTGTCGGAGCGGAGGTAGTGGAATTTGGGGGTAAGAATCCAGGCAGCAGATTTTCTGGAGAGTTTAGAGGAGATGCAGGAAGGTGAGAGACACAGGACAGGAAATAGTTAAATAAAAACAAGAAAACACAACAAAAGTGTTGAAAAGTAAAATGTAGGTAGATTAATCTCCACTACACGTTTTTACCTGTATAAAACAATAAGTTATACGCATGTCATATTTATACATCTGATATAATTCAGATCACATTCAAAACTCAGTCACACACCCAGGGCCGTTTCAAGACATTTGGGGGGCCAAGGCAAAACAGAACACCCCCCACTCCTGTCACTGGGCTCCCCAGAAGCCTCTGTGTAATCCAAACCCTCTCCAGTAGTATTAGTTATACAGTGTTTATTAAAAAAAAACCTCAGATATTACTGACATGTTCTAATATTACCAGATGAAAAACTAAATTATCAGACATGCTGTCTCATCTGCTGCTTTTCTAAACTTGCTAAAAGTAACAAAACCACTTGAAAGCCACTATTTGTGGACTCTCTGAAAGTTTCCAGTGTGACAACTTATTTTTTCATTGATCCTATCGTCTAATCTCACAGCTGAAACAAGCATCCTTAATAATCTGTGCACAGGAAGCGTACCAATGCTGTAGTAAAACAAAAGGTATAATAATTTATTATTAATAAAACCTTGTTGCAGCACTAAAGCAGAAAAATGAGATTTTGCAGTAAATATGCTAAGTATTTATTGTTTTAGAGCCCTTTTATTGGCAGAATCTGATATTAATTTAGTTCTTACAAAAAAATGGGTGCCAGTGTTGTGTGGCGTTGCCATAGTGTTATGTCATAGGCACAGATCCCCTGTCCTCTTTTTTGGAAATGGAAATATGATCACCCTATATTAAACAAACTGTCCACCCGGGCTTTTGCGCTGCACAGAGACGCTTTGCTGCCTATGACTGAACGTCAGTTCAGAGTCAGTCTCATGCAGACTGACCAATGAAGAGAGGGCCTCAAGTTAAGACCATCTCCTCATTGGTAAGTCCACACGAGGTGGGTCAAAGGTTACCCTGAGCGGGTTACGTGATGTCAGGCATTCAGTATATTTACTGCATATTACAGTAAAATATTCTGTATGTGACCATATTATAGTGATCCTTGGATCGTGATGATGGGGCCCTTGAATATTGTTGCCCAGGGTACAACAAAGTGTTAATCTGGCCCTGCCTGTGACACTTGGTGGTGACGTGTGAGCTGATTCACCTGGTAAATAACTTTTACATTAAATATTTTGGTTTTTGCTATCAAAAGTAACTTAAGTTGCATTATTGCAGGACACTCAGCAAAATAGGGACTCTACACCATGAGGCAGGCACACGTTAACTCTATAAGAGCACTTAAGGTGAGCAACACCACAGATTATTGTTATTATTGTACACTGTCCTGGATTTGTTTTCTTTCTGCATCTCATCATTAGCCTGGCTGATCACCTGATAACTCCTGTCATCTGGTTATGACAGCATGAGGATGTCCTCACACACCTGTAACCTATCAGCTCATCTGGCAGAATAGAGAGAGAGAAGAGACAACACCACATCTCCTGTTCCTGGAAAGCCTTCAGCCATCCTTCGATACTGAGAACCTCCATCAGCTCTGTCTCCTGTCTGCCTACAATTATTATAATAAATATTGTGTTTGACAAGTTTTTTGTGCTGCCAAATGTCTCATTTTGATTCCAGTTTTAATATTTTTATGGATATTTATAAATGACATTAATTGAATTATCACATTGTTGCATGTTTAACTAGCTCTATTGTGATGAACTAAACTAGCACCTCACTGTTAAAAGCTCGTTTTAATTTCAAGCATGTTTAAGTATTTATGGACATGAACAAAAACAGGAAATATATAAACTGAGATTTATTTAATTAATATAACAAATGACGGTTTACAGGAGGAAAGAGTCATTCAAAGGCACATTCTTCTGGAAGCTCCTGATCCTGACGACACCACCAGAGGACACCAGCTGCTGACACCGAAGATCACCTACGACCAAGAGAGCAGCTGGTATCAGTAAATAAATAATGAAATCAGGGATATTTTAGGGGTCTGTTTGTGATTGTATAACATAAATGGACACATTACAGGATAATTTTCTCAAGGGGTATTTTTATAACTTTCTTTACAGCAGACAGTAACTTTAGCCCACGGTAGGTGGCCGTGTCCTAGAAAGCTGCTATTCAGCACGTTTCAGTGGTTTTCCTGCTAACATGTTAGATTAGCTGTTCAGCAGCTCAGCTACTTGCTGCTGATTAAAACCAGGTGTGTTGAAGCAGATAAATCTCTTAAACATGCTGAATACTAGCTCTCTAGGGCCGTGGAGCCAAACCCTGCAGCTAATCTAATGCTATGGCTAATGACTACTTACCATTCAGAGCTGGTTCTGTTGGGTCGGTTCCGGGAGTTTCAGGCAACTCACAAGCTCAAAATAAGGCTCACGTCCGCTTGTCTCCTCCAAATAGACTTGGTCCCTTTCTTCTTGACTGTCTGGGTAAGGAGGGGGAGAAACACCCTCTACTTCTAATGACTGCTCAGAATGAAAAAAGCTAGCTTCATCTCGTTACCCATCGTCTTCGTCACAGCAGCGGCTCCGCCCTCTCGGTCCGCCAGGCAACGCCTACTAATGTTGCAATTTTTTTAAATTGACATGTGGGTGAAAAAGGACTTTGAGGCAGGCTTGACAACCTCTTAAATATTCTACAGGTTATTGTTCCGCCTGCTGACGCGCGCGCGCACACACACACACACGTTCCGCTGCTGTTTCTCACCAGTATCAGCTGATGGAGGGCTCTAGTTTCATTGCGCCGTTCATGTCAGCAGACACGGTAGGGTCGGGGAGGGGCATGATGCTTGGCCCAGCCTGGCGGGCCGCCTGGCTTATAAAGCGCTGGGGGAAACCGACTCCTGGATCTCTGGGACTTGGAGCTCCCTCCATCTTTTATGCATCTTTGGGGGCGGATCTGTGCCCCCTCACACTCACTATTGGACGCTACTATAGAGAAACCTTCCATATACAAGCGCGTGTATGCACACAGGTGCTCTCAAATATGGACTTAAGCATTTTCAACACGTGTCTTAAGGCTGTGGTTGACACAAAATGCACTCATTTATTATCATGTGATTGTTCAGTAAAACAATGTTGATTTTATATTTCCTCATCAGGTTGACACAGTGATAGCTTGCTCTTATTGTATTGTTGTGTGTCCCTTTTTTAGTTTATTTTTCTCTTTCTGCAAGTCTAGATGCAGATTCTTGTTCACCATTGATTGTTTATTTTTGTGGAACAACCCACTCTACCTTCTGAGCTACCACTGTCCTAACATATAAACAGTTATGAACCCTCAAAGAGGTGAGATGAAAACAATGTAGGTTATACCAATCTGAGTAAAGTGGTTATTTCACAAGCAGCTGCCCAGCATCTGATAATTCTGCACTCACGGTCAGAGGTAAAATAAGTTAGTAATTGAGAACCAATCAGCTTAAAATATAAGAGCAGACAGAAATGCTACTTTTAACCTTGGATGGAGGTTAATCATACCCCCACTGCATTTAATGCTTCAATGTATGACTATCATACTGGCATTTGCTCATATAAAAGGGAAGCAACACTCCCACTTAATGCACACCTACAAATGATTTGTTCACACTTTATTTTTGTACCATTACATCCCCTTATTGAATCCAGCTGGACAGCGAGTTGGTCAAAGGCCAAAAAAATACAATCAACAAAAGCTAACATGAAGTGGGTGCAGAGGAAATCATTTTTAAATAGACTCTGCTGTCACTGCTTGACCAAAGACTACTTGATCTATGAATTTGCACAGCACGAATAGAGATGTAACTAAATACAGTTGGCTTGATGTCACAGGAACTGTTAACAGTCACTAGCCAGTATGATCCACGTGTGGATGAACCACTCTACAACACCTTTTAACACCCAAGAAAAACCAACAAGAACTTGCTGGTGAAATTCTGATGTTCTGTATTTTGTAACAACCAACCAAGAAGGCTGAAGCCCTCCCAGGGCTCAGTGCATGCACCCAACCCCCCTTTGCAAAAGGTCTCACAAAGAAAAGTGCCTGACAGCCATTTTAAGCATTCCAACATCCTGCTTTGTTCTAAACGCCGGAAGTTCCAGACAAAAACGCTAGCATGAGGGTAACTCTAGACTAAATAAAAATGAGTTTCATCCATCTATGCTCTGCAACAGCGTTGGATTATTACCTGAAACGAGAAGCACCCCCTTCCTCAATCACACTCTCCACTTTGGCGGCTTGACAATGAAGAATATTCAAAAGAATAAGAATAATAGGAAGGGATGGGGGAAACGGTGCTGAGGAAGATAAAAAAGGGATGCAATTAGTATGGAGACAAAGGGATAAACACATACAGACTACATCGATTCAACATCGAGTGAAAATCTGTGCAGGTCTTTTTAAAGCGAATGGTGCGTCATCTAACCGGCTAAAGCTACCAGTAAATAATTAGCTACATTACTATGTTGCTAAATCCACACATTGGCAATGTCACGTAATATCGAGACAATCCCACCAGTAAAAATAGGACCGACTGAATTCAGTCAGTTGTGATGTTTTGAGGAGGATGAATACTTGTAGTTTAACTGTTTTGCGGTTGGATGTTTAGATTCTGGTTGTTATCCACTGATTTGAAACTGTGGATAGAAAACAAAACCGACAATTCAGTCACTCTGCGACGCATAAGTACGGGGGCTGGGCAGCGTGGCTGACTGTCGACCTTCCACTCGACAGTGGTCCGACTGCCACCCTACAACTGCTGTAGTAAGGCCAACATGGGTCTATTGCCCGTTTTTGAGCGAAATTTCTTGTGCTAGCTCATTTTCGCAACAACATAACATATAACGGATATTAAAGCACATAGCAGTAAAGAGGCGACGCCATTTTCTGCATGAATATAAACCAGTCAAAGCATCTGTAAACTGGTACAACTGCCGGCTTCTAAGCTAATATGCGCTAGTTAGCTTAACAGAGGCTGATGCTGAATTCACTTGAATGCCAGCTAGCTAGCAGAGGCCATTTTGGATGAGCCGGTGCGGTTGAGTTGGGAAGAAAAATGAAACACCTTACCTTCACTTAAGCAACTTCAGTTTTGTTTTGCTGTGTAACTACCCAAGAAGAAATGAATGGGTTGGACAAAATAAGCGAATTTTGCTACGAATGCAAGGAGAGCTAAACGTGAAAGAATACCTGCAAACACAATTCTACACTGCGAAGGTTGGCAGGTTTGTTTGCGTTAGCAGGCTAGTAAAGAGCAACTAGCTTGCAGCCTTGTGGGGGTGGAGTTACGTGGAATTCAACTATTTCCATTGGTCGTTATTTTGTTGCTATGTAATTGCTGACCAATCACGGCAAAGATTTGTTTTAGGGCGTTGACGTTATTGCATTTGACCCAATGAGACGCATCATTACACAATAATAACCGCCCTCTTTCGTTGATTGACACAAAGACTCGTATAGAGTACAAAAGAAAAAACACACCGATTAGGTAAAGAATTTTTAATCTATTTTCCTGATAAAAGACTAGTTCCCAATACAGGGACCAAACAGAAAGCATTACTTGTGACAAAATAGCTCAAAATGACAAAACTTAGCTGATACTTAGATAACGTTCACTCAGTGATAGTTGTATAATTCATACATTAACACAATAACTATTTTATATGCTTTTCAATAAAAAATACTATTTCAGTACTTTGTACATTACTTGGTTGTCATGTGAGATTGATGATAAGGATTGAAAATGTGAATAATCTTGAATTTTTTTTTCTGTGCAGTACCACACAAAAAGAAAAAAGAAAAGAAAATATTTAAAATTGTATTACGAATACATTCTGATGCGTTTGTCCCATAAAAAGTAAGTGCAAATGCATCTTTAGTAGTGTTAGGGAGGTCAAATGCATGTGTTCATCTGCCAGGGTTTGTTCTTTCATCTTTGATTGCTTCACAACAGACTGTTTATTCCATCAAGGGCATAGGAACCGGGGGGGCGGGTGGGACATGTCCCCTCCAATATTGGACAAACACTTGTCCCCCCCCACCCACCCCCCATCCCCAATAATGTGGAGATGAAAACAAACTTGATTTTGAAATATTTGACTCGCGAGCCTTTATTTTGAAAGACACCGCGGACTTCTCGCCGACACAGCCCCTCCCCTCAGGGAGTCGGAGGCGGGGCACGGATACACAGCGCAGGTGTCAGAGATGAGACAGCAGCAGCAGCTTAGCGAGTTCTATTTAGTCTAGTCTTAGCCCTTAAGCTAGCTGCTATTGGAAGGATGATCTCAGCATCAGCCAATCATGAAGAGCTTAAATGTACGCCCACCAATGGTGGGCACCCCTTGTGGGTATATAAGTGGAGTGACTCCACTGTTTGCCTCCGTTATCTCTTCAAGCCAAGCTTAAGAGCTTTCTTTAAAGAGCAAATTATCTAAAAACAACATTCAACTCACCAGCCATGTCCAGCGACGCCAGGACCTGCCCGGCCTGCCAGACGGGCTCCATCTCCAGCGGCGACCTGCACGTCAAATGTGAGGTCTGTCTCGGGGCTCATCACGCTGGCCTGGCCTTGACCCCCCAAGCCTCGTGCCCATTTTGTGCCGCTCTGCCCATGGCTGAAAAGATCCGCTGGGTCGAGTACTTCACCCCCGCCGCTGACGAGGAATTTCCGGTGGCTAACACGTACTCGCTGGACAAGGCCTTACAGTTCTTCAACGTCGGCCAGGAGCCAGCTGGCTCCTACCGACTGGACAATGTCATCGACAGTGAGGAGTACGGCGAGGCTGGCTGCCATAGCCCTTCTTCCCTCCTGGACAACACGGAGGTCGACGAGCCATGCTCAGCGGGTCCTTCTGCTCCAGTGCCTTCTCGCTCCTCCCTGCCAGCAGTTAGAGCACTGCTGCAGGAGCTACCTGCCATCATCTCCGCGTCTGCGGGCCGCAAGGGGCTAGCCGTGCCGGAACCAGCTCCGCCTGATGCAGATGATTTGGCGGGAATTTTCGGGGCAACACAAGCGCGCTGTCCAGTCCCCATCTGGCCGCACGTCCCCGCTGCCATGACCTGCTGGTCCGCCGCCTTCTCCAAACCTGGTTGTTCACACAGACAACCAGGTGGCGGCAGCCTACATAAATCGCCAAGGGGGAGTTCGATCCCTCCTACTATTGCGCGTAGCCACAGATTTACTGTGTTGGGCACATGTCCACCTGCTGTCCATCGAAGCCACCTACATTCCGGGGGTCCTGAATGTGGAAGCAGACATCCTGTCGAGAGGGGGACCCCGCAACTCCAACTGGCGTCTGCATCCCGCACTGATATCACAGATCTGGATCGAGTTCGGGGAACCCTCTTTGGATCTGTTCGCGGCTCGCGAAAACGCTCAGTGTCGCCTGTTGTTTTCCCTGAGTCCCCAGGACCACCCCCGCTCGGAGCGCACGCCTTCTCACGCCAGCCCTGGCCTCAGACTCTCCTGTATGCGTTTCTGCCAGTCCCACTGATTCTCCGTCTCCTGGACCGAGTTCGGTCGGAACAGCTCTCGATAATTCTGGTAGCTCCCAGACGCTTGTCCGCGTCATGGTTTCCGGACCTGCAAGCGCTAGTGTCCGGCTCCCCGTGGAGGGTGGACGCCCTTCTCCAGGCGGATGGGATAATCAAACATCCTCCAGAAATAGGCCAGCGGCTGTGGGTCTGGCCGCTGAGCGGTCACGCTTAGAGGCTTCTGGGCTGCAGCATGATGTGGTCACCACGATTCAGAGTGCGCGGGCGCCTTCTACCGTCGCGTCTTATGCTGCTAGATGGGCAGCTTTTCAGAAATGGTGCACAGAGCGGAATGTTCAAGCACTCTCCTGCCAGCTGGCGGATGTCCTATCGTTTCTGCAGATGCTGATGGACAGGGGCCTCGCATTCAGCACTATTAAATCATATGCTGCAGCTATCTCATCCTGTCACCAAGGGTTTGGAGATAGATCTGTTTTTAATTATCCCCTCACAAAACATTTTCTAAAAGGTGTCAGAAGGAAAAGACCTGTGTCCCACCCGCTATTTCCCCAGTGGGACCTAACGGTGGTTCTGCGCGGCTTATCTGAAGCCCCATTTGAACCCTTGGACCAGGTCTCACTTAAGTTCCTGTCACTCAAAACTGCCTTGCTGCTGGCGCTGGCATCAGTCAAGAGGGTGAGCGACCTAACCGCCCTCTCAGTGTCTCCCGCATGCCTCAGGATCCAGGAAGATGGCGGGTCTGCTGTTTTATGCCCCAACCCAGCCTTTGTGCCCAAAAATATTAATACTTCCTTCAAGTCCAGGTCAATTTCATTGGCTGGACTTTTTCCTCCTCCCCATAATTCTGATGAGGAGGCGGCTTCCCACCTTCTCTGCCCGGTGTGCGCGCTCGCACGATATGTGTCACGCACTTCAGGGATTCGCCGCTCACAAAGCCTGTTTCTGCACCACAGAGACTCTGGGCAAGCGCTGTCGACCCAGCGTCTTTCACACTGGCTATGTGACGCTGTTTCACTCGCTTACACATCATCACAGCAGGATCCTCCTGAGACACTCAGGGCTCACTCCGCCAGAGGGATTTCCTCTTCTATGACGCTCCACAGTGGTGTGTCGATGGAAGACATTTGTCAGGCTGCTTCATGGGCTTCCCCATGTTCCTTTACTCGTTATTATTTATGAGATGTGTCTTCAGGTTCCATCACTCGTTCAGTGCTTGGACCTCAGCAGGCTGAGTGAAAGCATTATGGGACCACATCAGCCTTACTTGAATGAATTTCATCCTCTTGTGGATGATATTTTAGTGGGAACCCCACTCGTCTCTCTGGCTGCCTCAGCCTTTTAAGCCCTGGGCTGAGGCTGAGTGACCCTCGCTAAAAGGAGACCTGTTGGGTGTGTCCAGATTCAATGAGTCTAGTCGTAGCCCTTAAGCCAATGGCCCCACTGGTTCTGTTAGGATCAAGAGCCATCGGAGGCGAACAGTGGAGTCAGAGGTGATGGGGCCTTCCAGCATCTCTCTGTGCAGGTGTTTAGGATTGGAGGGCAGGGCCTTGAGCCACAAGGCCCGCTGGATAAGGGTCTGCCAGGCAGCAATGCGAGCAGAACCGGTGAGTACAGCAGCACACAGATTGAGAATGGCATTAGCAGTTTTAGTAATGAGGGTTTTCGACTCGTCAGGAACGTCAAGCTCTTCCACCATTTTGGAAACGCCAAAGGCAAGAAGGGCGATGTTATTTCCTGCAGCGCCGGTCTGAAAGGCGCACTGGTGTGCGCGATCGGTGAGCCGCGTCAGCAGCTGGTCATGCTT